CATCAGTGCTCATCCCACTGCATAGGAAATCTCTTCAGTACCAGGGTCATGTGGGCATGCAACCAGGTGGGCCTTGCTCCAGGAAGGGAGTGTGGAGTTTCTTGCCGGTGCACATATGGGTGAAACCCACACCAAATGAAACCCCCAGTGACCAACTGGGCCCTTCCCACAGGGCAGGCAGAGATTTGTATGTGACACCTCCAGTGAGGTGCCTTCTGTAGCAGAAGTCAGAGGCTCACCTGCTCTCTCACAGGACTCCGAGGAGAAGCTGGAGAGTCAAACACCTTGGCCAGAGTTTCTAAGCCAGCCAGCGTGAAGTCGATTTCACTGCAGAGAGAAGTGGCACAGGGTGGGGGGTCCTGCATAACTCAAAGAGCCTGTCACTAAGGCTCCCCTGGCACATGTTCTTGATAGGTCAACTGGACATACGAACTAGTTGGACTGGGGTATCCCAGGGAGAGACCCAAGTCCCCTAGGTCTGACTCATGGGAGCTGCCACCAGATAGTAAGGTCAGGAACAAGCCCTTTCCAGTGCAGAATGCAGCAAAGCGGACACAGCTTCAGCAGGGGAAGGGTCAGGATGGAGCTAAGCCAGCATCTCCCCTGGAGGTGTGATGAGTCCCTTACAGGGTCCCAGCAAGAGACTCCACTACAGTTTCTTGCAGCTAAAATGGATGTGGAGAGGATGCTGGGGGATGGATGCTCTCTCATTGGTAGGAACTGGGGATATGCTGTGCAATTAGTTCAGGTGCCTCAGGTCAGTGCACTCCCCTAGCAGGAGCTCCTGCTATACTTCAAGCCTTCCCAGCATCAGCCCATTCACAGGATAACACATCTTTCGCAGACCCTTATGTTTAAAGGTTTATATTTCAGAGAGACTCTTCACAGGAGTGTCACTAGGTGTTGGGGCTGAAATCTGGTCAGGTGAACAGCAAGAGACCCTCCTAGGGAGGGTGGATTCCTAGCCCAGGGGTGAGCTCAGGGAATCATATTCCCCCAGGGCTCACACAAGGCCCTAGCAGAAAGCTTGGAGGTCGGTCACTTCTAGGCACTGTGTTTGCTGGAACCGGCCCAGCTCTCAACAGAGGCACTGAACAGACTGCCTCCTCCCACAGAGCTTTCTGTCTCAACAAGAAAGGCAACCAAACAGGGATGAAAGCAGGAGACACCATCTGTACTCAGCACAGGAGAGCTGGGAGGCCCTGATGTGAGACATAGAAACTGCCATCTTAGAGAACAGATGGGGAGGAGCAGGCCTGCCCAGGGCACCGGCAGGCTTGTCTGTCATTCCCTGGGTTGATTTCCCCCCATCACTCACCTGTGTAGCCCCCGGCAGGCAGTCACTAAGGCCATGCTCAGGTGTCGCAGCTGCAGGTTCCCATTCCGCAGGGCCTCCAGGTCCAGCTGCAGGTGGTGGTTGAGATACTCAGCCATGAACCCCATGAAATCACCGGCTGGGCTGCAACAGAGGGAAGGGTGGGACAAAAGTGCAAGTGTTTTTCCTACCCGTGCACCTGTTTCCTGTGCCCTCCAGCATGGCTGCAGTCAGTTACAGGCCACCAAATATAAGGCAGGCAACAGATACCAAAAACCTCAGAAATAGGACACATCTGGCTGTTAGTCACCCCTGGCTGCACAGTCTCATGATGATTGAAGCACTGAGCAAGAGGGGTGCTGAAGCAAATGGGGCAGAGGTGGATGCTGCAGGTAAAGTCACCCTTACTCAGCTCCATATTGTCCCCTTCAGGTGAGTTGTCTGTTTGTACGTGCCTGTCCCATTCATACTGAGACAGTTCCCACTTGTCATAGCCAGAAAGAGAAGAGGCAGTGTTCCCACCCCATCCCCTACATGCACAGACCAGTTGGCTCCATCAGCCTCTGGCCCTTCCAGCATCAAACATTTGGTAGCTGCTTCATGAAAGGTGTGGGGTGGTGGGAGGTACCTGCTGTGCACCTGCTCCTGCAGCCTCAGATGCAGCTGCTGAGAGATCTGCATCTTGTTGGGCTGAGTTGTGGCCCACCCGCTGCCTGTGCCTGCCCCACTGTGGGAGGCCAAGCTTGGAGGATAGAAGGCTCTGCCGTCTTCACCATCTGCAAACACAGAGGCATAGCATCATATAGAGGAAACTTCCCCTTCCCCTAGACTTGAGCCCAGCCTCCAGTGCCATACTTCTGCCCCTGTAAGTGTCAGAAATGACACATTTCTGCACCTTCCACCTGTCCCCACTTCATTCCCCTCCCCAGTTCACTTCATGTTTCATCCGTCATTACGCCCCCTTCCCACAAGCTCACCAGAGTCCTCATCTGCTGGCTCCCTCACTCTATTCACAGGGTAAAGCAGAGGGGTCACCAGGCCATTGTTGGGCTGCTGGTAGGTGCTTATTAGATCAGTCAGTGTGCGGAAGCATTTAGCCTGGATGCCCTGGATGGTCTAAGGAAAGAAGAGTGAACATTTCTCTGACACTTCCTACCACAGAGGCCTATTACAGACTCTGGATATACAAGGCAACTTGCAGCCAGTCCCAGAAGAACAGGAACAGCTCGAATCTCTCTGTTAGGTGAACCTGGATTCTCTCAAGATGTAATGAAAGGTAGTTCCTGTCCCAAGGAACTTACAGACCCAGAGGCCCATGGGAGCTAGGGGAAAGTGCCTGCTTAGAACATAAGACTAACAGAAATCTGTCTCCTTTCCTTTTTGCCGTGCTGGGTAGGAAAGGGGTTTTGCCTTACCAGAGTCAGAATAGAAGGGCTGTGCTGAAGAAATGTCCTTATGGGGGATTTGAGTGAACGGGGAGGGGCTTTGGGATGGGGAGGCCATTGAGAACCATCACTGCCAGAGGGGGTGAGGACAGAAGAAGGACATAAGGCTGATGTCACTGAAAAGACTGTGGGAAGAAATGGAGAGATGAGGAAATTGAGGGAAGGACAGAACTGCTCAGGGCTTTGAGAGGCATCTACCTTTGTGCTCTGTGCTTTGGGTGCTGTTTCTGAAAGCTACACCCCAATGTGACCCAGTAGTTGAGGACAGGAAGGGAGAAAGGATCCTGTATTTAGTCAACCACCAGTGGAATATGAAGGAAAGCAGCAGGGGCTGGGGTGTGGGGGGAAGATGCTTTGTTAGCATAACCCTTGTGTGCTTGACAGTTCTGTGTTCAGGCAACCTCCGTGTGAAATTCAGGCAGCCTCTGTGTGAAATGGCTGGTGAGCTGTGCTCCCATGCTCTAGCTGAGCCTATAGCTGTGCTTAGACAGCCATCTAGGGCTGTGCCGTCTGATGTCTGTGCAAAGGACATATCCTGTGGGCTCTGTAGTTTGCAAGCAATGCATGCAAAAACGAAACCACTGTGCAAGCTTGTGGCTCCCAGCAAGGAAGCGTAGATTTCACCTAACCCATCTCCAGATAATGCTGTTGCTATGTCAATGGAGCTAAAGCTGGAGGCAAAATCCACTGGCCCTTTCCTGTATAAACCTCAAATCTCACATCTAACAGAATTAATGAGCCAGCAATCACCACTGCTCAGTGCCATGGAGAAGAGCAACATAGACAGAGGCAAGAAACAGCATGACTATTTAGTGAGATGGGTCAGAGACCCCCGCTTCACCCACCTGCACAGAGAGCAGCCCTTCCTCATCAGGCAGGATCCTGTAGGTGTGCACATGTCTCTGGAACCTGCAAAGACACAGAACAAGGCATCAATACTGCATTTCTAGCCCAGTGGGTCTCACAAGCAGGTGGGGCCAGCAATGAAGGGACTAACCCAGAGCCCGTCAGAGGGCTTGCAACAGCACCTGGGAGCTCAGATAGGTTTAGAAGAGTTTGGAAAAAAATCATCTTAAGGACAATGAAAAAACTAGTTCTCCTCTCCTACCCTCTGTCTCCTCTGTGGAGATTGTGATCCCTTTGGCGAAGGAACCATCTTTGTGCTTGGCCCTGATGGAAGGGCAGCTAGCCATGACCACTGTGCAAATAAAGAGGGACCAGGTTTGGTCCTGTCTGGGGACACTCAGTCTATGATCCCCAGAGCTGCGGTAAAAGAGGAACTGTGGCCAAACAGCAATGCTGTAGCAAAGGGCGAAGGGGGCAAGCGGGGCCACTGACCCAGGTGCCAAAGTGAAGGTTCGCCAATAGGCGCTGCGGCAGGGCACAGGATGGAGCTGCGAGCATCTCATTTGGGGGGGCACAGGGATGGGGGGAAGGCAGTGCCCACTGTTGCGTGCACTCCCAGGCAAGCATGGGGGGATGTGTGCCCCCCAGATCTGTGAGATCTGTGTGTGGAGCGAGGGCGGGCTGCCACTGCAGGCTTTGCCCCAGGTGCCAAACTTCATTGATACAGTATTGCCAAGCAGTTTTGAGAGCATCACCTTGGGCAAAAAGGCTTTAGGAAACAAGTGTCTAACCCTGGAAATACCATATCAACTTGAGTTCTGATCTCAACCCAGGTTATATCACAGGAAGCCCCACTTGCTGCCCCCTTGAAACTTGGCCTAGCCCATGGCTAGACCCCAGAGAACCCCCACACAAGGCCTCTGACTGAAGTCTTGATCTGCTGGTGTAGTGACACTGTCTCCATCCCTCCCTTCTCGAGTGATAGGCACTAGAAAATATTTGCGGGGGGCAGAGCGGTGTAGAGCATGCCTGCCTGACCCCATCCCTCCCTCCCACAGGGCCATTCTGGGGCTGGCATGAGCTGGTGCTGCGCACGTGGTAGCGGAGGCATGCAAAGCAGGGACACTGGACATGGTGCTGCATCGGCAGTGGTGCTGGAGTCGCTGTCACTGGCCTAGTTTGGAGGGGTTAAGCCCCATTAGCCTCACACTTCCACCACCTATGTAGGCCAAGCTTTACGGGCAAAGTCTTCAGGAGAGGCCACTGATTCTGAGTGATTCCAGTTCTGGATTCTTGTTTGGGTCTGAGTCACCATCAGTGCTCCAGTTAAACTCAACAGAGGCTGCAGAAGCACATGTTCCAGATCAAGACTCCAACTCTGAGTCACCTGAAACCAGCAGATAAGGTCATTCTGGTTATATCTGGGGCAGGTCTATGCATGCCACTAGCAGCAAGCCCAGGCAAGGTGGCAGCTCTGGTGCTGCACCATGGCACAGGACTCCTTGCAGGCATCATGAATCCTATTCATGTATGAATTAACCAGTCTAGGATGTCTCAGCTGAGGTCTGGGTGAGCGCGAGAGGATTGCTCTCTGGGAATTCGTGCTCACCACAGCCACTCGGGGTATGTCTACACTGCAGAGGCTGACACACCCAAGCTGGATTTAAATGCTCTCTCCTGCACGCTGCTGGCTTGTGGCTGTGCCACCACAACCCTGCTGCTTGCAGTACCAGGCTGGCAGGTTAGAAGCTGTAGTCACACCTCTGACTGTGATACAAGACTGACCCTCACAGACGTGGCAAGGGCTTCAGAGACTAAAAGCATTCAGGAGGAGCTAAACCTCCTCAGGGCATGAGGGGGCTCACGGGTTAAATCACTCTGCACCTCCCACTCTCCTCAGCAGCATGTGTTTATAATTTGCACCATGCCCTGGGCCAGGAAAATCATGGGAAACTGGGGGGCATCCTTCCAAGCCTCTTAAAGGAACAGTGCCGTATTCCTTCAGCACGCTGACTACGCTTTCCCCGAGTTCTGCAGACGTGTCGCTTGGGTTGGAGGCTGGATTAACTCAGCGGGTCCGTCTCTAACAGACGC